TAATACTCTCTTTGACAAAGCACTAACTTTCATAGTACACATGCACGAACACATACCGCCTCAGTGATGCAAGCAACAGAGTAAATGGGCGTCTCATCAATCACTTCACACTACAAGATCATCACATTTTTTTTACTTCAACTTTCTATTTTTTCTTTTTATGTATATATCAAATATTTAATTAATACTCTATTCTATTAGGAAACTAAAACCCATGGTTATGAAAACTAATGAGGTGAGAATAAGAGGTTAAATGGAAGAACAGCATATGAACCCAATTAATTTACAATCTGAATCAATAGATCCGTTGAAACAGCCAACTATCACATACTATTAATTTTGAATTAAAAACATGCATTAAAGTCTTTGCATCTGGTTGAGAAAAAATACTAATAGTAGTAGTACTACTTGTTTGAAATTAATTTGATATATAAATGTGGCTGATGACAACAATTAAATTACTCGTTTTGATAGGTTCTAAGAGAATAAATAAAATATTGGTTTCTATAATTTGCTGTCAAACATAAACACAACGGTCCAGACCCCAAACCAACCTGGATATAGTAGGGACCAAGTTTTAAACAAATCAATATTTCTCACACACACACAAAAAATCGAATAGTACTAGTAAAAATCACTTCAAACTTACAAGATTAATAAATCTAATTAATTTTCTAATCAAAGCTAGTAACATTTTTAAAGTACAGTAGTAGTACTAACATTTTTAAAAGACTAATACAAACAAATGAATCATGAAATTCAAAATATTATTCGGACTACTTCCTCAGAGTAATCAATATGACAGATAAAAAAATGTTTTTTAATTTTAAACTAGTAAAATAAATTATATATTTTTTTAAAAAAAACTTGCCTCGAGAAAACCAATCTCTCTCTCGAGCATCTGAACTCTCGCCGCTTCTCTGCGTTTCCCGTATAAATCTGGATATTCCGGTGGAGACTTCGGACGAGGCGGCGGAAGTGATGACGGAGCAAGAGTAGAACTACCTCCTTCTCCTCCGCCACCGCTTGAAGAAGGAGAAGCCATTTTCGTAAGCGATCTCTTCTCAAAGAGAGAAAATGGTGGCTCGAGTCAAGAGACAAAACATGCAGCTACGAGAGACAAGTAAACAACACAAGAAA